GTTGTTGGTTCTCTAGATTCTCAAAAAATATTCCGCTCATGATAATACATCTACAACAAAATGAGGAAGATTTTTTCGTTCTTGGTTGAATTTTTTTTCTCGATGGATTTTCAAATTTTGAAAATCTAGAATTTGCACACATCCGTGGAAAGCAATGATTTTTTTATCATTTAATTTAATCTATTTAATTTTTGACAGTTTTTGAGCACGCCACAAATCGGAGGAGAAGCTCGGCCAAACAGTAACATATTTACAAAATTCTAATCACGTCTGTCATTAAATAGGCCTGCGATGATTTTCCCCTTAAAAAAACTAATAAACAATATGAGCAAGTGTTAGGTACTAAACTAAGAAAAAATTACATAAGATTTACTAAGGCTCAACACCTACGTCGATATGCTACTATAGTCTAAGATATCACATATAAATTTTTGTCCCGATTGGAGGTGGTTAAGGCGTGTCGCACAGGGGGGGCAAAGTTCAGATTCCTCTATGGAGACACAAAAAAGTAAAATACATTTTTTTTTCATCTATTACCCAAAATCGATACTACCACAGTCGACGATATCGTGTCGCAAAGGGGTCAAATGCCAGATGGCTGGACTCAAAAAATTAAAAAATATTTTTTTTTTTCATTTAATACCCAAAATCGATACTGCTAAAATCGAGGATATCAAATATAAATTTTGGTCCCGATTGAAGTCGGTTAAGACGTCTTCATGGGGTAATCTGAACCAAAATTTATATGTGATATCTTAGACTATAGTACCATCGACGTAAATAAGTAAGCTTAGTAAATCTTGTGTAAAAATTTGCTTTCTACAGTTAAGGACCACCCTAATGTACATACATTTATATGTATGCACATAATTATAGCTGTCGTACATAATGAGATTTTTAAGAAGTCGTTCAAAATAATGGGTGTTCCAAATGTTTTCTGATCTACACTTCCGATTTCTGCTTCGTCCATGTATGTATGTATTTTTTTGTATTTGGTCGTCATTAGTTGGCGTTAAATACCAAGAAAATCAAAATTGGTGCTATTTTTGAAATAGAAAAGCCGTGCCAGAATTCAAAGCATAAATATGTGCCCACCTTTTTCTTATGTATGCATGTATATTAGGGTGGTAAAAAAAAAAAAAAGTTTTAAAGTTCTCACCCTCTAGGATTGCTCTATTCCGAAAGATATTATATCCTTGTTTTTTATTTTAAATTCAAAAAAATATATTTAGGGGTCGCTCAAAGCGCTCAAACTTTTCCATGTATTTTATATGTGGGGAAAACAAGAAGGAGTATAGAATTCCCGAAAATCAATATTTTTCGATCCGAAAACTTTGTTTCTCTTCAGAAGACCTTCAATAATAATACCCAATGGTTTATTAAACTATTTTCTATTATTAAGTATTTTCTTTAGGATTACTAAAAACCTCAAACCTCAAAAATGGGTCCCCCATAAAAAATCGCTAGTATTAAAACATGGTAAAATAAGCAATTAGGTATTATTATTGGCAGTCTCCTGAAGAGAAACAAAGTTTTCCGATCCATAATTATTGTTTTTCAAGAATTATATATCATTTCTACGAAAACTTGTTTTTTCCCATATAAAATATATGGAAAACTTTGAGCGCTTTGAGCGACCTCTAAAAATTTTTTTTATTTCAAAATAAAAAATAAGGGTATAATAGGGCGTATTTTTGTTTTCGCTCAAATCGAAAATTTTAAATTTTTGTATAGAAAATGATAGGAAAAGTTCATTATTTTCGATTCGTACGAAAACGAGAATATGCCCCAATATATTTCGGTATAGAACAATCCTAGTGGGTGAGATCATTAAAATTCCGACTTTACTTTATCACATGCATTTTCAGACCACCGTAATGTAGATATCTATGTGTCTGTAAAAGAAATCAGAGGAATGCTTGTCATGAAAATTTAGTGTTATGGAAAAGCTGTAAGTCACAACCGATGTTGAGAGGATAAATAAAGAGATTTAAAGGTGACATACTTTTCCCATCTCTTCACAATGTAATTTATTTCGGTTTAAAGCTATATACATATGTAGTAGGGTGATTGACTCCGTTTTTCCAAACCACTTTTTATCGATATTTTTGGATATTTATAGGCGTTTTTTCTTTTAAATCATGATTTTTAGAATATCGAATAGACCGGGCTTTTTAATCGGACAAACCGGTTTTTTCATTTCATAGAAATCTTGACCGTTCAATAAAAGTTTCGAGTTTTTCGAAGATCTCACGGCTTTTTTCAGCTTAAGGGAAACCCGTAAATGGGTAGATCCACACTCTTACTCCAGCTCCGAAGAAGCTTTTCTTCAGGCAGAAGTACACTCCGAGGTGTGCCATTGTCTGCCAAGGCGCGACCGCTCTTTCATAAACATTTTTTAATGTTACTGGGACAAGAAATTGAACCATGTACCTCCCGAGTGGTAGTAGGCACATCTAAGCACTTGACTACGGTGGCACAACTCAAATCCGAAAAAAGGCAGAAAAAATGCAATTAAGTATTAAGAAAAAAAAACATTAAAATATTTAAGACCAAGCGTGAATTTTCAATGATTTTTATTTGTTTTCACTTCATACCAATTTAAGCATTTTCACTGCATGAAAACTACGTAAAATAAAACCGGTTTATCTGGTTTTCTGTTAATTTCAAAATAGGGAACCGGTTTTTTTTTAATTGCAATTTTTCGAATAACTCGAAAATCGGTTTTGGAAAAAAGCGAATAATCGAATACCATAATATGTATGTATTGCAAGAAAGTCCGCGGAAAGATTTCAAAGAGGGATTTCGTATAATTTTTGTCTGTCGGAAGTCGTTTGTTTTTTTGGATATATGTACATATGTGTATCCATGGCCCCGAGCTCCTTTAACTCGTGCTCTTCGAAAGAAAATCTTAACTTGATAACTATTTCATCGCTGTCAGACAAACTCGCCCCATTTTAGAATATTTGATATTATATCGATATTGACGATATTTTCTGCTTCCGATACGATATTACCGGCGCGATATTTTTTTTTTCGGTAATATCAGATATCGATTTTTTACGCACAAATATCGCCTGGTTACCAGTAAAAATAAATGTATGCTCTAGCTAACACCATAACCATACCTTTTAAATTTATATGGTTAATTTTTTATATGTATTAATGAATGAATACATATCGTTACATTACAAAATGTTCCAATTCATACGTTCATATTAGAAAACATTACGTAAGTTTTTTTACGATTAAAATTCTGATAGTTAAACTTTTTAGTTGTTTAAAGTGTTGAAGTTTGAAGAAAATGTAAAATAAATAATACCGTAAGTTATTCTTCTTTTCTTTTAACTATTATTGAACACGGATTCTTAAATATTGCTGCGAAAATTCAAATGTTTTTTTACATCAATATATTTGAATCTCTCTGTCACCAGTAAAAGTTCACAATAATTAATGAACACAGTTTTGGTATTTAGGGTGAAGAAATAAATCGCTGTGTAGCCCACTCTATGGCACGCAATGCGTTTTTAGCATTTTATAAAAATTACAAATTTTTTAGAAAGAATGGAAAAACGCTATTTTCAGTGATGAACAAAACTTCAATATACATAGTTGATCCAGGTGCCCACCATAAATATTCGGGGTCATTCGGCTTCCATGGCAAACCTGCCCTGGCAAGCGTATAGCTTTGGAAAACATATAAAAACTTTTCACTTTGAGAAAAATGAATATCCAGAAGTAGAAACAGACTTTGCGAATTAAGTTGGCAAATTTTTTTCTCATTTCGGCAGAAGATAATTGAAAATTGTAGCGGTAAAACGTTGTTATTCACATCGTGTGAACAACAAATTCGTTATTGAAGGAATAAAATACCTTGTGTTACAATATCTAGCTCCAAATATGGGCTTTAATACCACTGGAGATTTGTAAGATTAGCTTTTCCACAAGTTGTTTACTTATTTAAAACAGAATGATAACGTGTTGAAACTTAAATAGACCAAACTTCGCAAATAGGAAGAAATAATATAAATTTTACTAGAAAATTTCCGTAAAATCTATGCCGCAAAGCGTAAAACCGATAACATTGTGCAATAGAAATACAATCCAAAACCAACAAATAAAATTATCTTCCAAACTTTTTTTAAAATAATAGATAAAAAAAACTTGTTTCTTTACAAATATAAATATTTTCTATGAAACATAATGGTACAATTAAATTATCTAGTTATAAACTAATGCGTATTTATAAAGTTTTTTATATTCTTTTGATAGAGTTAATGAATACAATTACTGGGAAAGGCATCAAAGATCTATTATTGGTTTTTCATTAAACTAGGTGAAGTTGAAGTATTGCACATATAAAATTATTTTACTGGGGTACTAGCAAGAAGTCAGACATGGGCGTAGTGCACTAAATTTCAAGTACCACTAATACTGAATATAGTCAGGCTTATTTTTTTCTAATCCCACTAAAAGTAGTGGGACTCAGATTTTTTTTCACTACCACTCACATTCACTTCACTTCACATTCACACTTCACATTACGTAGGTGAACGCCTACTGCATACGTTCATATTTATGTAAGTACGTCCATATGCACATGAAAATGTATCTACATATGTCTATGAACAATTATTTTTGGCTTATGGAATTTTTTTTTTGTAAAAATTTTGTTCATTTAGTGGCCATAAAATGGTATGTTTAATTTGAAAATTATGTTCCGTTTACCACATATGTACATATGTACATTCATATCGTTTGAAATAAATATGTAAATGCCTATTTAATAGGAAGAAGATGAACGCCCACATACATACCTGCTTACAACGCAGCCAAAATAATATAGTGTGAGGATATCTTAGCGGACCACCGAGTCGGTTGCCTCCCGGCTGATCACGTTGCGCTTGTAATTTTGCACTTAAAGTCTGTCCCGTCTGTTGATACACTTCAATGGCGCTAAAATAGAAAAAGGAAACAATTTAATATGACAGAATAAACAATATAAAAATAAGCAAAGCATAGAAATAACAATTTTCGGAGCAAAAATTAGCTTCTCGCTCTTAATGAATACCATGGCAGCTCGGAACAGAGGATATAACTGAACGCCTCCACGGTAAATATTTACATACATACATACAGTCACTCACAGAAGTATTCGTAAATTCGTAGTTTTTTCACAATATTCAAAATGTTTTCCATCAAAAATATTTTTCGTTAATTTTCATTTAAAATATAGCCCATTCTATAACAAAAACCATATAAATCATTATTGCAAACTTTGTACAAAATTCCTAAAAGTAAATCAAACTTAAACAATTTTTCATCAAAATTTCAAATAGAAAAAAAAAATAGATTTTGTTCATGCCTTATATGGAAACAAATGCGCAATACCCTCGACAAAAAAAAAATTTTAAAAATCAGTAGTAATATTTAGCTGCTTGCAACTTGCTCTTTATTGTACTAAAACTGCATACCGAAATTTTTTCTAAAAAATTCTGAAAAAAAAGTTTGAAATTTTGAAGAACCTTTTTTAAGTTTGATTAATTTTTAGGAATTTTGTACAAAGTTTGCAATAATAAATAAATATAATGCGACAAGCGGCAAATAAATGAAGAAACCGAAGTAGTTAATTGGGATTTCACATTAATATTGTTGACTGAGTGAAAAGACTACACGCAGAAAAGCGTAATGCAGGATTTCCACTAGGCACTGAAAAAAATTTCCCGTTTAAAAAATGCCATGGGGAAACGAACTTAATGATTTTATTTTTTTTTTTTTATATAAATGGCGGAGCTACACCAGGTGAAGTAATTAGAGCGAGAAGAAAGATTTTGACACTGCCTTATTTGAAAAAATTTCCTTTAAAATTTGACTATAAGGCAGCCGAATGTCAGAAAATAAAGCAAGAAAGCTGTTTTATTACTTTACCTATTTATTGCGCAATGAGTAATGTCGAACTTTATCTTTAGCATTTTTGTCATTTAATGTGGAAACCTAGCATAGAGTATGTTTTAAGCAAATTTGAAATAAAATTAGCTTGGACGACTGTAAGAAAATTCAATCAAACTGAACATTTGTGTTTCGAGCTGCTTGCAATATATGTATTATTTGTTAGGTTCCTAGAGATCTTAGGTTCAATTGTCGACACATAGATTTTTGATTTTTTTTTTTAGGTTTTTATTACTTAAGAAAACGCATCTCTGAAGTCCAGAACGAAAGCATATTGAAACAAAAATATATTTAGTTTCAGTAAGGAATTAGAGAGAAATTATGTGTTTGTAGTTTTGTTAAAAAAAAAGCAATAAGGTTATTTTTTTTAACAGCGGCAGAATTTGGATATGTGGATGACATACATAGTAATAATTGCCTAAGAGGCCTAGACTTAGCGAAAAGCTGGTATGCCAGAGTGTACTGAGAAAAGAGTTAGCTAAATATATATATATTTCAACGCAAGATTGTGTAGCTATAACTGTAGCTAATTTAACTATACGCAAATCATAATTTGAGAGAAAGAAACATATTTAGTTGGAGTAACTGAACTCTTGTCTCAGCGTGGGTCTTAATGTTAACCCTTTCTAAGAGGACCATTTTCCCCTCTACCAAAAGAAAAATTCCTCTAAGTATACGAGCACGTCTAAAGCTTTGATATCAGCTTCCCTCGCCCTTTTCCCCGGAGATGGTATGAACAAGGTAGGTGCTTTAGAAAAAAAAAATAGAGCTTTTCATTATGGCGAGACATATAATGCGCCCAGAAAAAAGGTCAGCTAAATATATTTCTCTCAAATGATAATTTGGCTATAGTTACATTATTTGGTTATAATTACCAAAACATGTGGTGAGAGAAATGTCTTTAGCTGACTGAAGAAACTAAGGATGAGAGACCAACTCTAGCGAAGCATGAGTGAACTTCTAATGAACCGTTTCAAAGCGAAACTTAGGGTGCTAGGAATCTGGCTTAAATAGTCTCGGTCGCTTTTGTGACTCAGCTAAGGGGAAAACATTGTACCTTCTTGAGCGGAAGATGGGTTCGAGCCGACGTGGTAAGAGTGGCGGCTCAATGTGGCCAAAGGACGACCAGTCATGTGACTTTTTCTAAAATGGTACAATTTATTGCAGGTTACATACGTACACGTATATGGATGAGCATTTGCATCAAAGTTATATGCAGTTGACTGTTGACTTTCTTTCATTTGCTTTTTGTATTTTTTCGCTATCTATGTCGGCATCTATTTTCCGGAAGTCACGTCTCTGTTGCCGCTTTTTCTTGCACGTTCTCACTTTTTTTTTTAACAGTTTCTTACAGTCATACACACCTAAACGCATACATATGTGTGGGAGTGGACTTGGAATCTTTTCGACATTTTGTGTGTAGGTTTCATTGTTGCAATAGTTGCAGCTTTATGCGTGTCCTACCGCAAATAGATCTCTGTACTATGCTTACTGCTTTTCAAAGCATCCAAAGCGATGTAGGGGCCGGCATGGAACTGTTGATAAGTTCAGCCCAAAAACCTCTCAGGCATATATAGGTATATACATACATACATACCATAATTAATTGCATATGCATTCTATTAATACCTAGTTACGAATCACAATAGGAAGGAGCTTCAACTATATACATACGTACATACATATGTGTCAGTATGTAGTTGAAGCCTTGCAGTTGGTACGGATATTTGCTACAGTCAATAAATTCTGATCTTTTTGTTGGCACACTGATGAGTCAGAAAGCGAATGACGGCGACAAGTCAACTAAGCATAAAAGTGGGTTACTCGGTCAGTTGGTTGCCTGATTTATACTTACATACATTATGTACATATGCGCAAACGTACATACAAATGCATGCAAACATACATACATCTGCAAAAACTAGCCACATCTGTAGCTAATTGTCTATTATTTTATCTGCAAACTGCACAATCACCGCTGGGGCTGCTGTAATAGCAATGCAAGATGCACATACATATGTAATAGCAAAATTCGCATGCTTCAATATTTTTGCCGCGGCTTTTTACTCTAAATTGCCTTGATTGGCCTTAAATCGAGCGCTGTTGTTGCCATGCTGACGCCACAGCGCAACAGCATTTTCAATTCCATGTCGTCATTCGATTTTTTTATACTCATTTTCAATTTTCATCTGGTTTTTG